AGAAATAAGGTAGGCAGCAGCAAGATCCTGCTTCTTGGAGACCCCCTTTACCTTCATACATGCCCCTGATGCACTCACCTGCTGGGCAGGTATGGGAAGCAGGAAGCACTTACAAAGCCTGAGACAGACAGGGCTCACACAAAGTTCCCAGAGGAAGCATTGGGGTTTTGAAGGAGGAGTGGAAATGGCAATCAGGACCAAAAACCCAGAGGATGAGGATAAGGGGCTGTTGGGAGGGAGCAGGAGGCATTGGATGGGACTGGGAGGACAAGGGTACAGGAATCTGCTAACCAGGGGCTTCCCCCCACTACACACACACGCCACAACCCCATGCCAGCACAGACCCCTCACCTTAATAGTGGAGCCCTTGGAGAAACAGAGGTGGTTATCACGATGCTCTGCCTCCCAGGCATTGGAGCACCTGGAGTTGCAGACGATGACAGACTCATCGAAGCGGGGATTGAAGTGAAGTGCCAGATCCGAGGACTTACAGCCGAGATTGATGCTGAACCTGTGGGTGAACGGGAGGAAGGTCAGCCACACGGGCAGGAGAGGGTCTTGGAAGACCTGAGATCCAACACACGGCTCTGCACCCAATTCCTCCATCAGTGTTGCAGGTGCTTAATGCCTCCCATTTCCTCATTCTGCTCGGGAACTGGTGGAGTTTGCACAGTGGTGGCATAGGGGCTCCCCTAACACTGAGCTATGCTCACACTTTTTGTACCTGGCAACCTTGGAAAACCACCTCCCTCTGCAGCCCACCTTCAGTCCTGGCAAGTCAAGGTGGTTTTTTTGTACTTACCTGTCAGCATCATCGGATATCTTGCCCTTGACCTTCAGGGTGTCCCCAGTCTTCATATCCAGGTTGAAGATTTCAAATTTTTCCTAAGGGAGAGAGAAAAATAGTCTGTGGGGCTCCTTCAGCCATTCCTCCCCTGCCACCGCAAGTGAGAGGGTGCTGCTTGGATAAGGTGCCCCAGCCAGGAGAACGTCTACTGCTCTCAGCTGGTGTTCCTCTCATGGCCAAAACCCCTCCGTGCTGGAGGTCTTGCATGGGCTTCTCACTCAGTGAGGGAAGAGTGGCCTGAGTGAAGCCAGCAAGCGAGAAAAGACATCAGAGAGAGAGAAGATGAAAACAGGCTTGTCCTCAGCAGAAGGAAAGGAGAACATGACAGCAGAGGTACAAAGAGGGTTAAAGCAGAGGGGGACAACCCAGGGTTTGGTGGGCAGCATTGCCTGCAGCCCAAGAAATGCAAGCGGTGAGAGTGGAGGTGCCTGTGGCTTGCCGGTCCCTCATTCAGCCTTGCTGAGCTAGGGACCCTGGGTGATGGAGGACAGGAGCAGCAGCCCTTACAGCCATCTTCCTCAGAGGGCAGAGTAACCAGGCAGGAAGCCACCAGCAGTTTAGCTCAGAAACACTTCGCACGGAAGACTTTACATTGCTAGACTTCACTGTGGCTTACACATTAACAGCATCCCCACCTCTGCAAGGCTCCACTGACTGCTATTAAGCCAGGAGACTTTGATCCAAAGAAATAGCTTCCCTATGTACACTTCCTCTTATTATGGACTTCAGGAGATTTAACCAATTCTCAGCCTCCTCGGTGGGCTCCCAGTGGAGGGACCACCACACACAGCCCTTAGGGGTGCTACTCCAGCCACCACATAGGACAAGCATCTTCCCAGCTGGCCATGGAGGTGTGACCACTGTGTTCACTTCTTTTCTGCGTGTAACAGCTCAGCCAAAAGAAGCATCCCAGCTCCTTCTGTTTGTGGCAGGAGGCAGCCCGCAAAATCCACACCAGCACACCAAAATGGTCCCCACCATCCCTCCCCATGGCGCTCTGAGGAAGGGCTCCAAGGGGCTCAGAGGCAGGAATGACATGAGTGGCTCCTTCCCTTCTCGTGGCTCTAGATTCAGCCCCAGCTGCGTGCATTGCACTAGCAATACATGGGAGCTCTCTGCAACCTCCCATCCAAGCTCCATTGAGACCCAAACCTTTTAGCTTGAGGAGCCATGCACATCAGGTTCAATAGCCCCATCCTCCCTGACCCTGAGACATGGGAATGTTGTCCTCACAGGGGAGCATCACCCCTCCTGTCTTCTTCCCAGGTAAGAGCTACGAGTCAGTAGACAGCATCCCAGATCCAGATTTGGTTGAACAAATTGGTGGTATTTTGCCAGACTCCAAAAGTCAGTGGGAAAGCAAGAGGGAGGAGGAGGCCAAGGCTCAGGATACCAGCAGTCCTTCAGCCTTCCCTCCCAAGCCCTGCTGAGAGCAGCTGAGTGCAGTCATCCTGCTGGTGCACAGCCAGCTGGGAGACAGCTTCTGCCCTACCCCAAAAGTTCCTGAAGCAAGCAGAGGTAAGTGCTGATAAGCACTCCTTCCCTGAAGATCTTCCCTATCAACAGGGGGTCATAAAGCCCAGCAGGCTTGGGAAATTTGTTTGAGGTCACTGAAGCTGTTGGCGAAACCTCCCAGGGCTGAGGGTGGAGCCAGCAGGCGGAGGTGCTGGGGATGGTGATTTCTGGCATTGGGTCAGTTTCCCATCATGCTGCTGTGTCCCACCTGCACACACCTTCACGTCACCTTGCTTCCCAGCAGCCATCCCAGGGAGAACAGAGAGCCCAGAGCCCTCCTCTCAAAATACTGGAGCATCTCACTGGCTATGAGAGGTTTCTCAAGGACAAGGGCAGTACAAAGACACTGTTCACATAGCCACCGTCAGCGTTAGTTATCTGAACTCACTTGAAGCCAGCAGGGAGAAACAAACACTTCTAGGGCTCAAGAGATTACATCTGAAGACAGACCCTAAACTTGGTCAGAAAAATCCTGTCCTACATGGCTGGCCAAGGTGACACAGGAATGTTGTGGCAGAGACAAGACTCAGGTCCTGGGCCAGCAACATAGAGGAGCCTTCCCTCCACTTCCCACACAGACCAGACAGAAACATTGGTCTCACTGGGATTTATCCACCAATCCCACTGGCAGAGTGTGAGGCTGCCCAGGAGGGAGAGCAGCATGTGTCTGAGGGATGGGAAAAGCGACCCGTGCAGAGAGGTATGTGCAGAGCTGCAAGTACCACGGATGTGAGAATATGCAGGGAGGGAGACAGGCAGGAAAGAGGCACGAGCTGCTCAGAGAGGCGCCATGAGATTTTATCAAGATAACATTAACCCCCCTCCTACAATGCTCAGCAGGGGCATTCACCCCCCTTTTATTTGCCACTGGGAACAATAGTGGGAAACCAGGCAGCAACTCTGCCAGCTCTGGCGACTTCCTTCGTCTGCAGAGCTGAGCCTCCGCATGGTCAGACACCAGTCCTGCGCAGATCGCCTCTCTCATACAGGGGTACGTGCTCCCCACATAGGAAGGGGCTGAGACTTTAGGGACCCCCGAAAAGCCAAAATCCTCCAGTGCAATTGGAGGTGGCGATTGGGGTGATGAAAGGAGGGTGAAAGGGGCAGGCTGATACTTCCCTGCAGACACTGCAAAGCAGAAAGCCTGGGGAAATGGTGATATGATGGGAATGTAAATCCCAAAGAAAGAGGAAATCCGGCTAAAGGGCATCTGCAAAGGAGGTGGAGGGTCTGTGCAGTGAGGAGAATATAAGCAATGGTTGTGGAAGCTGGCAGCCACTGGTGCAAGGGATCCAGGAACCCTTCACCCCCAGAGAGATGATCCTATAACAGAGTACCTGACTGGGAGCACCTCTCCAGGGCCCCGTATAGATGTTCATCCTGGCCAGAGGGCAGTTGGTCTGTACTGGTGTGGGATGCCCATGTTCACACCGCTGGCACTGGGGGAGGCTTTGCTGCATTCCCAGAGGGTGCCTTGGGACAGCAGAGACCCGACAAGCAGTCACTGGTGCGAGGTTGGGGGCCATGCCTGACCTGAGGGCAAGGTGAGCTTCCAACAGGGAGCAGGCAGGCCTGCAATTCTGCATGGAGAAAACAAAACAAAACAAAAAAAATCATATTTTAAGGAGGGAAGAGACCACTGCAACCACGTCAGCTTTCAGCCAGAAGGGTGGGATGGCAGGTCCTCTGCAGAGTGCTTTCACCCCAAGAAATGTGGCAGCTCCATTTGCAGAGGTCCCATAAGGTAGGTTTTGGGGTTAACAGCCCTTCCCAGCCTTCCTGCTAGTCCTAAGGAGATCTCAGGCCACCAGGAGCACTCATGGGATCTCAGGACCCTCGGGGTGGGTCCAGACAGCAAGACCTCATGTACCATAGCCTAGAGGTGCCACCACTACCACAGGGCACCCACACAGCTGTTGAGAACAGACTGAATGCCACCCTCCCCAGCAGGCTGCCAAGATCCTCAGCAGCATCATTGCTGGCAGCAGTATTTATTTTCTTTTCTTAGTCGGGCAGGAGATAAGCCAGCTAGGTGTGAAGCCCTGAGGAAAACCACAGGATTCCCCACTTCCCAGCCAAGATAGCCAAACCGCCCTAGCTTTGAAAGGTTTCTCAGGGCCTTTTGTGGCAGGGGGCAGCCCACAAAATCTACACCAGCACACCAAAATGGTCCCCACCAGCCCTCCCAATGGTGCTCTGAGAAAGGGCTTCAGGAGCTCGGAGGACAGGGCAACCAACATGTCCTCTCTAGATGGCATGAGCTATGAATAGTCCCTCACAGGAGTGACATGGGACTTCACCAGACATTGTGCTCAAGCCCAGAAGGGAAGAGGGAGAGAGGGGAAGGCAATGTGGCCATGCTGGCTGTGGGAATGCTTCAAACCAAGCCCTGTGAGAAGAGACAAGAGATCCCATTAGCACCCTAACGAAAGGCTGTGGTTTCGGCTTGGCGCTAATTAGTGGCACCGGAGGAGGACACTGGGGGGGAAAAAGGCGCCTGTCCCATTTTGCACTCAATGTACCAGGGAGCCTGTGCTGTGGACCAGCCATCGGCATCTGCTCAAGGCAAAGGGAGCTGGAGAGAGCAACCGTGCATTCTTTCTCGGAGTAGCAGCTGCTCACTCTGCTATTATTTCCTACTGCTTCATATAATTTGTACTCCACAGAAAGCTATTGTCCCTTTCCACTGGCTATTTATTTCCTTGAATAGCCTCTGGGGAAGGATTTCAGTGCAGGAGTAAAGAAAAAAGAAAAACTCCACACAATAAATATTGAGCGGTGACCTGATTTAAACCGTGTTCTCTAACCTCATCTGGGCCCTGGTTGCGGTTCCTCCCGCCAGTTGCAATTAAGCCATGTTTCTGACTTGGGTTCCCCCTCTTATGAAGCCTAGTGGGGAATGCTCCCTGCCTTAGAGGGCTGTGGGGTGGATTTCAAGAAGCTGAGCTCTGGATTTTCAGAGGCCAGGGCTCAGGACAGGACAAAGAAGAGGTTTCCGTTACCTCCTGATGGAGCTGCTCAGTCCTCCTGCCAGTCACAAAAATTCCCAGATAGGTTTGATAGGACCGGTTTCCCCTGTAGTTGAGAGGTGTTGGTTTCCCTCTCAGAAGATAGTGCTGCAACCTTCACCCAACCGATTTTAGTTCTGAAAGTCAGCCAGCTTCCTAACAGAGGAGGATGAAGAGAACAAAAAGTACTTACCTCAGCCAAACACTGAGGTAAGCAGGAGACTGGATAAGCAGGTCTGTGGATCTGGAGGGTGTGTACAGGAGAGGATTGTCCAGGAGATGCAGGAGAAGCCAAGGCAATGATGAACACAAGGAAACTGGTGTCCATAAGCACTAACCTCCTGCCTAAGAGGTTAACCAGAGTGGGACGGGTCCTCTACAGAAGGCATTGAAGTCTCTCCATTCACATCAACTAAAATGGGAAGGAACAAAGGACTGGAGGTGAATCTCCTGCCACTCCTCATGCCCCAGCTCCCTGACAGCGCGTCATCCAGAGCCCCTGTGGGAAGCATGGA